ATTTTTCCATCTAATGTACTTACAAAAAGTAAACTGAAAAACATATACATATTTCAGTTTTGATCACAATTAATATAACATAATTGATGCTTGCATCACTTCTAGATTCACTTGATATGAAAAATATATAATTCGTTTGAATGGCTCATTTAAGATTTTAACTGTGATGGTTACAGAAGCGAATAAGATAATAATCTTGAAACAATATAATTTTAAAGTTACATAACTTCTGTAGTACACGTATGTTCTTCTGCTCTAATTATTGCATTTACCTTTATATTTGTATGTTCGTGCAATTAAATTGTGATAACTAGCTTACAAAAAATGATACAGAAACATTGAGAAAATATAATTGAAATTTCATTTTGTTTTTGATTCGATAAAAACATTCACTGGAACGATCGGTGTTCATTCAATTTATTTTATTAACCTACATAAACATATATTTATATGAACATTCGTAATCTAATGATAAGAGTCATTCAAAATTAAATAATACTAATAAAATTGTAGATACGTGAGGTCCAATGAAAGATGTATGTATGTCGGAATAAAGTACCGTTAAATGATGCGCAATTATCATAGATACGCAAAGTAATTGATGATTATTTACCTTCGAAACGATTTCTGGTTGCAAAATGTCAACTGTTTTCTATCATCACTGTTAATCAGCGGGAAGATGAATACGATTGCGAACAGTATACGAAACCATATTTGTCCCCGTGAACGAGTGTCAGACATTTTCTACATTCGAAAAAAGTTGTGTACTTAAATACTACATTTTGTTTAGATGTTTACGTAGAGCAACGTGAGCGATGTTTTATCGCGATGTTTGATTAAAATACAATAGATACTGGTTAAACGGCGCGCACCGATAAACCATGGTAAGCTCTGATAATGTTCACAACAATCGCAACAAACAGATACCCCAACGCCATCTCGGGAAGATCTTGAAATGCACATGTACATATGTATGTACGGAGATTGTACACCGTCAGCAATTCAATGTACATACATAGATATATACATGTACAGAATATGAATACTGTTTGCTTGTGTTCGTTTATATATATATATATATATATTTCATATGTATGCATATATATAACTAGTTTGTTTAAATTCGAATAGAAGACGACAATATGTACAATTTATATTTTACTCGTCCGGCTTGATAAATTTTATAATTTTTGGAATACAATACGATTAGAAATACGACACAGGTAAAACTATCTAAACAATGTCAATTACACGGACTTAGGACTACATAATTCCAACGATTAGATAGAACGTCTTCGGGTTTAAGTGATTCAGGCCATAAAATTTTTGTTGCAGATAGATGAGAATATCATTTTTCGTAACGTCGACTGCTAACGTCAGAACGCGAAAGCGCAAGTGTTTGAATAAAAGAGCAAGTGTACTTACGATCGTATTACGCGGTGAACATTCGAGAATAAACAAGTTGTTCGCGTAGCCCTCTAATGGCCAGAGCAGGAGATACAATCGCACGTCGAGCAGTCTTGAACAGTATTTTTTTTCTATGTTACGGATGATTATGGCGAGGTTTGCCAGATGGAAGTGAAGTGTCGTATAAAGAATACGTTTGTCGAATTTATCAAACGGAATTTGTTGAAGTGAGGGTAAGCGACACAGAAGATTCAATTTCGTTTTTACGGTTTCGATGAACTTCTGGGCAGTGATCAACGAACGGAGAAATGGAAATCTATTCCCTATGAAATAGCGAGCTAATACCTGTCCTTTCCTCCAGCCATACTCGAGTGTACAATAATAGACTTGGCTGGAACCTGCAGCCTGATTAAATAAATAGTATTGTCTATCTCTTGAACTGCTCCACCAGCAGTAACGCAACTATCCCTTCGTCCGGCACGTATAGACTGATTCGGACAGGGCGAATTTTTTTGCCGTTTTATCAAGAGTCACCAGGCACATAACCTTGTTCGTAGCAGTGTTACCGTAGAATCTAATTTCATTGTGATGTTATTTTCATCGACGTATATTTATGATCGAAAAATCATACGGAGAAGCAACATTTCTATATCCATTTTATTTGATATCTATTAATGCTCGAGAGATATTTATTTTATTGGTAGTAGTTTATTCGTTATCAATTTGTTACTCTACATTTTTGTTCGAACTTGTAGAGCGGTAATAGATTATTGAATGAATTACAACCAGAAGACATTTTTATACAATGAATAACGCAGAGTTCTGTTAATTGTAATGGCTAATTTTGGTGTCAGCAAAATTTTAAGGTCCGTAAAATTTTGATTCACAGCACAGAAATATGGAGGGTCAACAATTTTGTTTACGGTGGCATAATTTTCAAAATACTCTCTTGAGCTCCCTTCCTAAATTGCTCGATGGTGGTTATTTAACAGATGTCACGCTAAGTGCAGGTGGCAGGCACATACATGCACACAAAATTATACTTTCAGCTTGTAGTTACTATTTTAAAGAATTATTTAAGGTATTCATAGTACGAATGTTTGAATTATATTAAATGCGAAAAGAAGTATCAGTAGAAATGAATGTTATAGATTAAATTATATCAATGTAAATCAACTTTTAGGATTTAAGTTCTTTGCAACATCCTGTCATTGTATTGCCAGGCATGGAATATGCAAATTTGTGCGCACTTGTCACGTTTATGTATAACGGCGAGGTGAATATTTATCAAGAACAATTGCCTGCACTTTTGGCTATGGCAGACACATTACATATTCGTGGATTGGCAGACATTGCTGGGGTAAGAAATCTCATATGTGTACTAATTAATATAATAAATAGACAAAGCGACGGTTACACAAAAGATTTTAGACTGGTAAGTTCGTATTATAGTTAATATTATAGATTTCCTTAATACCCTATTGTTTTATTTGAATGCATATCTCTGGTATACCTTTTCTCTGTTTCTTTTCATTTCTATGACTGTTCTACCAAACCTCTCATTTTACTGCTTTGCACATGGAATGCATGATTGCATTTTAAGTATACATATTATGCAATTAATTTCTTGTAAAGTACAAACTAGCGTAATATAAACATTAAATAATTTTTATTGCTCCTTTTAGCAATTACAGTATTAAGAATATATTTTTGTGTTAATTCATAAGCAGTATTTTCACTGCATTCAAACGTGTTAAGTTATGATAGCAATAGATACTTAGTATTATCTGATAAACTACTATTAATTGTCCAATAAAGCTTGCCTCAGTGTGTTTTGTACAAAATTAGTAACAACGCATGTATCTTTTTGAGTGCCTTATAAAAATATTGGCAGTTCCTGATTGACAACTGTTATTTCCTTGTGTTATCTGGTACACAAAAG